ATGGAGACCTCTAGTGCCACCTGTGATATAACCAGGTTGATTAACTACGGTAAGTGAAAAGCAAAGCAAACATTTAGATTTCCCCCTTTCATCATTTTCAGGTTCTTTCTTAGGAAGTAGCCTCATTTTTAAAAGGTATAATCATTATTATAACAAAAATGTCAACATTAAAAATGAGGAGAAAACAGAACCTTGATAAACCTAACAAACTCCTTCTTTTCATTTTCCCCCTATTTTTGCCAAACTTTCCCCAGATGTGTTTATTTCTATATATTGAAATGATTACTCAAATAAAATATTAAATTCTGGCTTTGCTTTTGTTTATTGTTATGTTAATTTCATGTCAGAGCATGGACAAGGTTTTAAGCAAGCCTTTTGTTCTTTGTATGTCCTCACTTCTGTAACCCTGTTCTAAAGTCATCCTCTTGTTAGTGCAGTATTACAGTGTCGGAGCTGGAAATAACAATAAAGTCACCTCATCCTACTTCCCCAGTTTATAGACCGGAAAACAGGCTCAGCAAGAAGGAGAGGCTTTCCCAGGGCCTGGAGCTAGGTAGTGGCAGGAAAATGAAGAACAAGAAAGAGAGCGGAAGGGGTACCCATCTGGGATTGTGGATCTTTCTAGGTTTATGCAGAGATCAAGAAATGTCCTAGAGTGATCGTCTTAAGCTGTGGGCCATGGTCATGGGCTGTGGCTAACTTATTAAACTTTGAAAAAGTGTTCTCTTTTGGAGTCAATAGTTTCTTTTCTATTGACTTAAGGATCCAAGGTTCTGAAATATTTACTGAGATAGACTTGAGGGCGTTGAAACCTTACCAGGCTCTGATCAAAGAAGTTGAGCTGAGGCACTGAGTGGACCCAGTCCTTATTGCAACTCTCATCTCCAGAGAAAGCCATGGCGGAGCTGTCGTGCAAGATGGCTGAGACCACCAGAGCCTTAAATTTGGCCTGATACAGGTACTTAGCTAGGAACTTTCTGTCAGCTTCGCTTCATCCTTCCTTGCAGAAGCTCAGCCCAAACTGGAAGCCATCTGCAGTACTTCCAGGCTTCAAAACATCCTGGCATGTTAGCACAATTTGTTTTGGGATTACCATAATACATCTTCAGTATCTTATTGAAATGTTATCAGTTATTGGATATCTTTTAAAAAGTATTTTATGAGTTTCATCGCTACAGTTTGCAATAAATAATATGCAACGTACTTAAATTGAGAAAATCCAATAAAGAACACCATTATTACAGGTGTCCTTTTGAGGTTGACGAAGTAGTCAATTTCATCCATGTGAATCAAGACACTAATATTAAACCCGACTTGAACCAACTTGTTCTTTAGGCAAATTGGAGGAAGGGGATTCAAATTATCTTGGCTATTTACTTCTCGGTTCTATTTTACATTGTTTGTAGAAATCCAGACTTTTTAGCCTTTCCAGTTAGAAACAAATTTTTTATTTTCGATTGCAAATATCTAGACTTTGAGTTCTGATTCATTGTTTTGAAACAACTTTTTCTTTTGTTTATGCAAGTATGCGTGACTGTTAGAGTGCTTAATTAAAACTATGCCACCAACACTTCTCCTAAATCTTCCTTTGTTTCTCTGAGTCTCTTTATGTGAAAGAAAGGGCTGTGAACTTGCTTCTGTGGGGATAAGAAGGAAGCCAAGGCCAAGACTAAAGACTTGAACATGAAAAGGAGAAATCAGGAACAGCAGAAAACTGTGTTGCTTCATTCAGATGCTGACATGATTATCTGAATTTTCTAGCTAGCTAAAAATATTCATCACCCTGTTGGAACCTGAGACAGCAAAGAGCACCTTCTGCAGGCTGTTGGGATACTAACAGACAGAGTTAAGGCAATCCAGAAAAAATTCTCCATGTGGAGTGTGGCTCAACACCTCAAAGGTAGGCCATATGTGCTGGGCCTCTGTGGGAGTGATCCCACTGGGTCAGCATGGGCCTAGGAGGAGCTGTTGAAAGTGCTCTCTGAACCCCTGAGTCACTCTGAGCAGTCTTCCTCCCCAACTCCTTCTGCAAGATGTTGGGGTTCTCTCTGTACCTCTCGTTGGTTAGTGAGCCACTGGGTGTTACCCCAAGAGTTAATGCAGTAGTGGAATATGTTTGCCTTCCTCTGATTGGCTTTTTCCTGATGTAAGAAGCTGTTAGTCAGTTTCCGAATTGTCTGAACAAATTTTTACCCTTTGAGCATTCTCAATGACATCAAGACTTTATGTACCATGATATGTCCAAGTGGAGAGCTCCACCTAGCTGATGACAGACGCCCTCCATCTCATCATCTCCAAGACAAAATTAAGGCACTAGCCTCCTGCTAAAAAATCTTCTCTTTCTTTTACATTTTCTGTGTCTGTGAAAGGCACCGTAAATAGCCAGTCCTCCCAGCCAGAACACCAGATTGCTTCCTTAGGCTCTCTGGCTCCTTCTCTCTTTAACATTCGACCACACCAGTTCTTATTAAGTCTACCTCCTATAGGCCTAGGTATGTGTATACTTCTCTCCTTGCACACCTTGTGACCTTAATTTAGAATAAACAAGATTAAGATTCTAGGGTATAATACATATATGCACACGCATGTTGCACACATATCCCTGCAAAGAAATGATTCTGTCTTGGGTACCACCATGCACCCTGCACTCAATGTGGTATCCATCCTGGTACATAGTAGGCACTTAAAAACATTTATCGAACAAGTAAATAAGTGGATTACTGAATGACTGAGAGAATGTTACAAGCATTCTTGGACTGAACATTTTCTGGGGATCTAGTTTTGCAGTCCTGGACTATGGAAGAAGCAAATCTGACCTTTGCAGCAAGAAAAACAAAAGACTTTTAAAAAGAGAGAGAGAAGGAAAGCAATCTGGAATTTTCCCGGTGATGGTTGGAGAAGTTGGTCCTTTCAGGAGGGAGGGGAAGGGAGGATCTGGGATTGCCCACTTTGGAGGATTTGCCTGGAAGGCTGACATCTTGGGATTGCTCATATCTTATTTCTGCTGAAAGTTAATACTGCAACCTGGACCTCTGTGTTTCATTTCAGGTGGCCTCTCGGCCTTTAAGTCAGAAATTGAAGCCATTGTCACTCCTGCGGACACAGAGACTTACTTGGTCAATGACCTTCTCACCTGAGCTAAATTTTATAAAAGACATGGTTTCTAGGCAAAGCTCTATGGGTGGGCCAGGATGGCCAGTGCTCAGATGGCTCCTCTTTGAAGGTTAGACATGGATGTGTTGTACCCACACACACACACAACCTCCCTTAATGTCAACATTCCTCGCCACAGCTATGTGTTTGTTGTAATCGATGAACTTGCACTGACACATCATCATCCAAAGTCTACAGTTTACATTAGGTTCACTCTTGGAGTCGTATATTCTGTGTTTTGACAAATGTATAAGGACATGTATACATCATTATAGTATCACACGGAGTAGTTTCACTGCCTTAAAAATCCTGTTTGGCCTGTTCCTTTCCTTTCTTCATCCCGTCAGTCACTGATTATTTTACTGTCTTGATAGTTTTGCCTTTTCCAGAATGTCATACTTAGAATCATACAATATGTCAGATTGACTTCCTTCACTTAGTAATATGCATTTAAGGAACCCTCTTTTTTCCTCTCAAATCTGGACTCCACTCTCACATTTTTGCTAAATCCCACTTTGATTATGGCCATGTCCTTACTTAATAGCAAAGCATGTCAGTACTCTTTAATGTGTTGTCAGTTTTATAGGGGCTCCTGTAATGGTCAGGACATTTGTTTCTAAAGCATTTCAAAGTCACATCATATACCTATCTTATCAATATATTTACTTTTGTTAGTTGTTAGATGTGTGAATGGATACAATTTGAAGAAAGCTTATACTTCAAGGGCAAATTTGAGTCTGACAACAAAGCCTGATTGCCAGTTTTTAGTTCAACATTCTAAGTATAAAATATCAACATACACAATTAAATCGGTCATCTAAGAGAGTCTTTAGGTCTCTGCAGGATATGATAGCGTCCTCAGGCAAGCAATTATGGGCTGTTCCTTTTGTGGGTGAGGGAAGAAGGTGGTTGGGTCGAGCGTTGCAATATGGAACAGTAACGTGTGAAGGAAAAGTAACAACACTTCATAGGTTAGGTGACTAGCTCAAAAATGCTGAGGGTTTATTGTCAATCAAAGTCTATACAGCATAGCATGAAGAAGTACTTAGAGGAGACCCTAGAACTACATTAACTAAAGTTTTCACTTTTGCTGTTGCTGCTATAGTTCTTAACAAGGTGGATACATATGTCTTCACTACTGGATATAATGAAAGACTGAATAAGCAGTAAGGTTCTAATGGTTTCCATTTAATGCAATTGGTTCCTTAGTGCCTGTTCAAATACATAATAAAAAGAAGGGGAAAGTGAGGGGAGGACTTGTGAATCTAGAAAAATGGAAGGAGTCTTTTGGAAAATACTGCACCAGTCTTTGTATCTAAACATGACTGTTTCCTTTAACTTGAAAAACATATATTTATTGAAAATATTTAATAGACTACTTACATATAATTAAGGTAGTTGGATCAATTCTCTTTTTGTCAGGTTTAATATTTAGCTTGCTAGACAAAAACTCTCATAAGAATTTTGAATTTAAGTTTGGAGAATTTTCAGTCAAATCTAATAATTCTTATTGTTGTTACTTTTATGTGGTGAACACAAAATCTTTGTGTTATCTGATGGCCACTTTAGAAAATGCACAGGTAGCTTAGGTATAAAATACATCTTAATAATTTTACTATTTTAAATTTTGGAATGAAGGAGGGTCAAGATGGCAGAGGAGGCAAATGCTGTGCTGCTTCCTCTCACACCCTTATCAAAATCGCAAATAAACTACAAAACAACTATTATTAGGAGTTGCCTGAAGTCTAGCTGAACAGAAGTCCTACAGAGGGACACACAGAAGAGGCCACATTAAGACTGGTAGGAAGGGCAGAGATGTGAAATGGGCTGGTCCCACACCTGCATGTGGAGGTTGAGAATCAGGAAATATCTCAGCTGTGGAGGTTCCCCTGGAGGAGCAAGGGGTCCCGTCCCCACCCTGGGCTCCCCAGTCCAGGGTACCAGTGCAGGGAAGAGAAAACCAGCAGAGATTATAGCTGAGAGAGATGGAGAGCTGCAGGAGGCACAGAATTTCCTCTTAAGGGCCTGCACAGACTCACTGCTGATAGACTCACTCACTCTGAGCTCCAGCGCTGGGGCAGTGGCTCGAAAGATGCTAGGGACACAAAGGAAGGAGCTGAATGGTATGGCTTCTGGGCAAGGGCTGGAGAGGTGGCCTTCTCCTGGACACAGTACTGGCAAAGGCCATCGTTCCTTTGTTGAGCCCTCCGGCTCGACGTGCAGACGCAGGCAGCCGCCATATCAAATCTCCCTCAATGTAGCTGACATGGTCTGCCCCACCCTGGTGAAGCCATAAAACACCGCCCCTGTGCAGGCCCAGGCAAGCCACTCCCAGTGTCTTTTCCATACAAACTGCCTATCTTGGCTCATGCCACGGACTTTCCTAAAACCTTTCTAAGGCTCACAAAACCCAAACAAGCAGCATTTGATCTTGGAGTGCCCCATATCTCTTGCCGAGCAGCCCCAAGCCTGGCACTTGGATTGTGGCTTGGCCTCTCAAGGCACTTCATTGCCAAGCTTGGGTGGCAGCCATCTGTGGATTGCCTCGTGGCCTATACTATGTGGCCCTAGGCAGGGCATGGGCTGCACCTGAATTTAGCCTGCTGCAGGGCCCCTTCCAGGAGGCCCCGGCCTGCACACCCAGTGGCCGGTTTCGGTCTGAGCCAGAGCACCACCCGGGGTCACATCTGAGGATGAAATACCCAAAGGACAGGCTGGGCAGAGCCTGGCTAAAGAGAATCCTGCTCCATAGAGCCAGCCCCAGCACAACAGCTCCTCTACTGTAATCATCAGTCATCACAACCAATCAGCCCGAGGTTCAATCCTTCCCATCGATGAGCAAACAGCAACCAAGCTCACCTACAACAGGAGGATACACACAACCTACGCAACAGACATACCTGGAGCACCTGGCTCAGGTGACTGGGGAAGACTATGCCACTGGGACCCACAGCACACCTATTACATAAGGCCACTCTAGTAAAACCAGGAGATATAGCAGCCCTGCCTAATATACAGAAACAAACAAAAGAAGCCAAAATGGGAAGATAAAGAAACATGTCCCAAATGAAAGAATAAAACAAAGCTCCAAAGAAAGAACTAAACAAAATGGAGATGAGCAATCTACCAGATGCAGAGTTCAAAATATTGGTTATAAGGATACACAACGAACTTAAGGAAGAGTAGATGAACTCACTGAGAACTTTAAAAGACAGAAAACATAAAAGCAGAGAAAAGCATAGAAAACATAAAGAACTAGACAGAAATGAAAAATAACAGAACTTTAGAATGAATTAACAGATTAGATCAAGCAGAGGATCGAATAAGCGTTTTAGAAGATAAGGTAGTAGAAAACACCCAATCAGAACAGCAACAAGAAAAAAGACCCCCTCCCCCCCAGCCATGAGAATACTTTAAGGGGCCTCTGGGACAACATCGAGCATACCAACATTCGTATCATAGGTGCACTAGGGGAAGAGAGTAAGCAAGGAATGGAAAATTTCCCTAACCTGGTGAAGGAAATAGACATACAAACCCAGGAAGTGCAGAGTTCTAAACAAGATGAATCCAAAGAGTCCTACACCAAGACACATCATTATTAAAATGTCAAAAGTTAAAGAGAAAGCGAGAATTTTAAAAGCAGCAAAAGAAACCAGTTAGTTACCTATAAGGGAGCTCCCACAAGACTGTGAGTTGATTTTTCAACAGAAAATTTGCAGGCCTGAAGGGACTGGCACAAAGTATTCAAAGTGATGAAAGGCAAGGACCTACAACCAAGGTTACTGTACCTAGCAAGACTATCATTTAGAATCGAAAGACACATAAAGAGCTTCCCAGACAAGAAAGAGCTAAAGGAGTTCATCATCACCAAGCCAGTATTACAGGAAATGTTAGAGGGACTTTTTTAAGAAGCAGAAGAAAAAAAAAAAGAAAAAATATGACTAAAATGGCAATAACTACATATCTAACAATTACTTTAAACGTAAATGGATTAAATGCTCCAATCAAAAGACAGAGTGGCTGAATGGATGAAGAAACAAGACTCTTACATATGCTGCCTACAAGAGACTCACTTCAGATCGAAGACACACACGGACTGAAAGTAAAGACATGAAAAAGATGTTTTATGAAAATGAAAATAAAAAATCTAGAGTAGTAATACTTATACCAGACAAAATAGACTTTAAAACAAAAGCTATAACAAGAGACAAAGGACCCACTTATTTCACTTATGGGTATTTATCTGAAGAAATCCAAACACTACTTTGAAGGGACATGCGAACCCATATGTTCATTGCAGCATTATTTACAGTAGCCAAGATTTGGGGTCAAGCTGGGTGTCCACCAATGGATGAATGAAGAGGTGGTATTTATGTACAATAGAATATTACTCAGCCATAAGAAAGAATAAAATCTTGCCATTTGGAACAACATGGATGGACCTAGAAGGTATTGTGCTGAATGGAGTTAAGTCAGACAGAGAAAGACAAATGTCATATGTGGAATCTAGAGAACAGGATCAACAAACGACAGAAACAAGCTCAGAGAGAGCATTTTGATGATTGTCAGATTAGGGCTGGGGGATGGGTGAAGGAGGAGGGGATTCAGAGGTACAAATTGGTAGTTACAAAATAGTCATGGGGATGTAGAGTACAGCATGGGGAATATAGTTAGTAGTATTGCAAGAACTATATATGGTGTCAGATGGGTACTGGACTTATCAGGGTGATCACTTCAGAAATTACATAAATGTTTAATCACTCTGTTGTACACCTGAAACTAATAAAATATTGTATGTTAACTGTAATTGAAAAAAATAAAAATTAAAAAAATAATAAATTTGGGAATGATTTTGAGAAAGGCAAAATCATGAATAGTTTTTAGAGAAGACAAGATATGTATTAAGTAAAAATTGGAAATAATTTGATAAAAAAAAGGAATCCTTGGGCAAAAACAGTTTACCCAAAGTCTATTTTTACTTTTACTTTACATTATTCATGTACAGATAGCAGTAACAATATATTTTTATATGTATGTATTTAGGCATGTGCATATATACACATGGTAAATATAAAGTTTCTATCTATGGGTTTCTATCTATTTAAAATAGAACTAATTTATCAATGTATTAAATAAAATATATATATACCATGCTAAATTACCATATAAATATTAACAAACAGAAAATCATATCTACTTTGCTATATACATATTTGTATTTCTTTTAAATTATTCTACATGGTACAATGAACTGTTTATATTATATTTAACTAAAGTGATCAACAAATTTTTTTTTCCAGACAAAAATGAAAGTTAGGAAATAGAAAATGGAGATTTTTCTAGGTTTTGCTCCATGAGCACTTATATCATATTAATAATTTTGAGGTAAAAAGAGCCACAAATATTATTCAAAGGCATTTTCATCATTTGTTAATCAATTGCCACTCCAACAAGGGTAAAAATTTTATTTAGTGACTAATGTTTTGTATATGTTTCTTTAGAAACTATTCATACTTCCAAGATTCTTTAATTATCTAAGGTCTTAAAATTAAGAGAAAAACATTTAGATGCAGAAAACAGATTTTGACATATATACACACAAAAAGAGTGACAGATGCTTTAGACAGTAACTTGGACTCCTGAAAATTTTATCAAGCTGCGTGATCAGAAAGCCAGTACTTACTACTCTTTGAAATATGGGAATGAAAGGCTATCACCTAAATTAAACAAAATTATCTATTTTTTTTTAGAAAAATAAGACAAATAATTTCCTTATGGGCATTTTTTCACTCTTTGTTTTAAGGGTCCTCCCAAATACACAATCTCGTTCATGTCAAAAGCTTCCCCAAATGGTCAGTACAATTCCAAATTGTCCTTAGTGAAATAATGCGTTAGAATCATCATATTAGTTTTATAACAAAGATGAAAACACAAGTTTGGCCTGGAAAAGGTGCAATTTCAGATTGAGACCTTATGAGAGCTGGAATGGTCCTTACAGATAGTGCTTGGGTAACTTCATCTCTCTGAGCTTGACTAAAGGCAAATGGTCACCCATGAGAGCCCAGGAAAACCTCCTGAAACAAGGCAGATGAAATTAGAGCAATTCTCAGAGACACAAAGACAAGACTAAGGAAGAAATCCTTACCAGGTTTTGAAATGATGATGTGAGCCCCACCTGGGGAATCCCCTGGCTCCAGCTTGAGGTTGGACCTCAGGCACAGCAGTAGCCATTAAGGAGGCTCCAGGAGCCCTGCCCTTAGTAGTCACATCTTTGGGCAACTCCTCTTCCCTGAGCGAGGGCAGGACCTGTAACTTGCTTGTAACCAGCAGAGTGCAGTAATGGTGATGGAATGTACATGACTGCATTTACATGATTACCTAAGAGTATAGCACCCATCTTGCCATAGGCTCTCTCCCCAATGCTGGTTTTGAAGGAGCAATTTGCCATTGATCTTACTTCAGAAGAAAATGAATTCTGCCACTACCCTGATGGATCTTGGAAGCAGATCCTTTCCCAGTCAAGGGTCGAATGAGAACTCAGCTTCAGCTGACATGTTTTTCGCAGCCTCGTGAGATCCTGGGCAGACGACCCAGCTAAGCCCAGACTTCTGACCCACAGAAATGGTGAAATAAACGTGTGTTCTTTCAAGCTGCCACGTCTGTGGTAATTCATTAAACAGTCCATCTCTTCCCTATAGATGTTCACTCTTCTCGACAATCTCATTTCTAAATATGTCACGTATCATTTAGATCCTTTCCTCTACTTGTGTACTGCTGAGGTTAAAATTACCCTATCTTCTAATTAGATTTTTGGGTAAAAATTAACCAATACTCTTTTTCCTGTTTTAAACAATATTAATATTGCCACAGTAAAGGAAATGGAAATATATTAGCAGGGGCCAACTTTTATGAACACAACTGTCTTCAACCAAGTGCAGCAAGGACACCTTGTGTTGGGTATACAGTCTGTCTCCAGTTACGCCTTCTGTTTTACAGTCCCTCTAGGCTGTACACGTACTACATATTCAGTAACTGTTGAATTGAAACTGCAACTGCCTTCAAGTTTATTAATCAAGGGTATCTGGTCTGGCATTACTTCAAGTGGCACTTCTACTTGATGCCGCAAAACATGGACCCTGAGACCACAAACGATGACCACGCCAATGTTACTGCTGCCCGAGCCAAATTGCACAAGAGATGAGGGAAACAAAGGTAACTAGAATTTGGAGATTCTTTACCATTATCTAGAATTAGCTGCCACAGAATTTCTCAGTATTGCACCTCTCCTAAGACTCTTACTGCTCCCCACGCCTCCAGGTATCTGAAGCAGAAAAAAAGGAAATGGAACAATTCCCCCTAAAAGATTTTTCCCTTCTTTTTCTGCTTTTAAAAAGCACCTTCCACTATTGGCAGAGGTTTCTTAAGAATTCAAAGAACACCAATAAAGTTTAGGCCAAATGAGATTTATAATTAGAAAACAGATTCTGTTTTTGGTATGACATTTGAGGATAAAATGAGGCCAGGTGCACGGGCAGATTTATAGACACTCAAGCACAAAGCAGACGATCTAGCTGTACCCCAGGTTTAATGACGTTGGCTGTACCTCTGTTCTCTGGCAGAATAGACTCTGGAAGGACAGGGACCATGTCCTGGTCAGCTCTGGATTTCTCTAGCACATAAGATACTGCTACGGCTGCTAAGGTGACATCTGAACCTAGATGTTCAACCAATGTCATTCTCACTCATGTGGTCCTGAAACTTCCAGGCCAATAGTAAGAAAGAATCACGCCATGTTTAGTCAGTGAAAATGACTGACGTTTAAAATATATTTTAATGAGAACTTCTACTTTCTCACCATTTTTAAATAAAAATATTTGCACTTTTTCATCTGAAGCTGCTCTGGCATTAGGACTTGGTTGCGTCCTGGTCTGCAGGGCTGAGAAGCCACTGCACTACTAACTCCCCGTTGCTCTTGAGGCACGTGTGAGCCATGTCCTCCTCTGCTGGAAGTCCTTGTGGCAACCTCAGGGGCTTGATTCTGTGATACAAGAAAACACTTTTAGGATTTTACCAGGCAATAAAGTTTTAAAAACTGAAGTAACAAACGACAAACCTTATCAAATGTTTGACCACTTTCAGTTTTGCATTTACGGAAGGGATGTTCTTGTGAACTTGTGGAGTATGTGCCTACGAACAAATGGAAACCATGTTAGACACCAACTTTGAAAGTGCAGATGGTCCCATGTTTCAGTAAAATGTTAAGGTAAAAGCTCGCTCTATCTAAAACGAACTTTCAAATATACTCCATTAAATAATACATTTAAACAAAACATATGTATACACACCTTAAAGTTTTAAAGCCTTTAAATTTAAAACAAATTTAAACACTAAAGATGACTAAGATAGGTGCATACTTTTTCTAATCCAAGCATCTTTATTACATCTTTTTCCCAGTATGGACGTCTTTTTGTACTCCTTATTCTGGTAACAACATGCAGTTTATGAGGATGCTGCGGATCTCCACCATATTTTTCATGATCTGCAGGTGAAGGCTGAAATACCTAGAAAGGAAGAATCATAAATGGTAATTTTCAACTTAAACGATTTCTATGTACCTTTTTCCCCTCAAAAAACAAAAACAAACAACAACAAAACGCCCAAACAACTAAACAATCTCATCCTTAATCTTTCTATAATCCTCAGCCTCAAATCAAACATTTCTACCAGTCTGCTTACTCAGATGGATGGAATCTAAGAATTTCATACTCTAAGAAAAACATCACACAGGCATTTTTTTTGTTTGTTTGTTTTTGTTTTTGTGTTTTGTTTTTTGAAGGGCAAGGCAAGAGCAACTAGATGACACTAAAGAGTTCAGATGCCAGGAAGATGTATTAGCACTATATGAGCTGGGCACTGGGCTGCATCCCTTAGCCCCACTGAAATGGGGGAACAAACATATAAGTCTAAAGTGACAATAAAACTTGAGTATTATAAAATAATATGTACAAAGTACCATGAGAGTACAGACAGATGACCCTGCCTATGAAGGATCAGAAACAGCTCCACAGAGCTGACATCTGGACCTGATTCCCTAAAAATCAAAAGGGTCTAGAAAGCTACCCCACAAAAAACTTTCGCAAGTACATAAAACGTATTGGGTAAAAATGTACATTGTAAAACTACTTGTAATACACAGCCATGGTCCTCAATAAACTAAATAAATTAGAATGAATACATTCTATATAAAACTAGTAAGAGGTACTAGCATTAGGATGGCCATAATACATTCTTGAGTAAAAAAAAAAAAGAGAGAGAGAGAAAACCCACATCCAAATTCCACAGCATGCAGTAGGATCTTGTATTGGTTTCATCAGTACTGGATATGATACGTTCTATAAATACTGATTCTAAGTATCCACTATATATCATATGTGTAAAGGTCTCAAAGACATTAGATCAAGTCATTAAAAGTTATATTGTAGAAACTTACTCAGAGAGATTCATATCATATGGTTAAATGAAAAGAGCAACTAGAGAAACATTATACTTATGAGACAATTCACATCTTTAAAAACAAGACAGAAAAAGATGTGAGAGGTATTGACAGTAGCTGTCTGTCTCCAGGTGGGTGAGATTAAAGGTGTTTTTTGGTTCTTTTTACTTGTTTGTGTTTTTCTAGGGATTTTGAAGAGATGTGGGGTCAGAAGAATGATGGCAGATGCACCAAAGAAAAAGAGAGAAGATATAAAACAAAACAGCATGAAGAGTATGAAATATTTGGGAAAACCAAGTGGTTCTGTGTGGCTAAGGGAGAAAAAAGCACAAAAAGCAATGCAGGGGATGAAGTTAAACTATACTCAACTATGTGGAGCTATTAGAAATTTCCAGAAGGGATATGAAGGTGTTGAAAGTTTGAAGCAGCATGACCATCTTTCAAAAAGAAATTCAGAAAGAAAACTCTTACGAAAGAATGAAATGAACCAGAGGTGGGAGACCTGCACGAGGAAAGCCGGTTAGGACACACTCATGGCCACGGTTTAAAAGCCTGAACTATGCAGCTGTCACAGGAAAGAGACTGATTTGGGGACTCTGGGCAGTAAAACAGTTGGGTTTGTGCAGGGTGAAGGAGAAGGAGGGGTCAAGACTGCCTGGGAGGTCTCCAGTCTGGGGAATCTGGTAGATCAGTGGTCCCCAACCTGTTTGGCACCAGGGACCAGTGCTAACTATGAGAATCTAACGCCTGATGATCTGAGGTGGAGCTGAGGTGGTGATGCTAGTGCTGGGGAGCAGCTGCAAATACAGATGAAGCTTTGCTAGCTAGACCACCCGCTGCTCCTCTCCTGCTGTGCAGCCCGGTTCTTAATAGGCCACATACCAGTGCTGGTCCACGGCCCGGGAGTTTGGGGTCCCTATGGTAGAGGATGGTAGCATTAACTGACATAACTAACACAGGATGAGCACCCTCTTTTTGTTTGGTTGACTGGCAGGAAAGTCAGATATTGATTCTAATTCCGGACATTTTTTACTTGAAATACCCCTGAGTTATCCAAGCAGCAAGGTCTAGAAACCATTTGTGAATATAGCAATAAGGTCAGAAGACAGGCAAGAGCCGGAGATATACATCTCGGACTCATTTCTATGAAGTTTAAAAGCTTTCACATCTACTACAGCTGGTGATCAAATCACTGCCTTACACATTTTAAAAAAATGCTATGTCTTTATCCTTTTCTCCCAGAAGTTTACCGACTAAGAAACAGGAAAACATAAGGCATGGGAAAGGAGAGCAGCAGGAACACCATGACATGAAAAATAAAGACGTTTCTGATAAAAGAACATCAAACGCATCGAAGGTATCAAAATAGTCAATGGCAACATTATTCTTTTAAAAACATCAATGGAGAAGTGGTTGCCAGGGGCTTGGGGGCAGGGAGAATGGGAAATTACTGTTTAATGGAGATAGAGTTTCAGCTTTGTGAGATGAAGAGTCCTGGGAATGGATGGTGGTGATGGTGGCACAACAATGTGAAGGTACTTAATACCTCTGAACTGTACACTTAAAACTAAACAGTCTTCCCATACTTCCCAGCAACTGCATTCCTAGGTATTTACCTCAAATGAGTTGAAAACTTATGTCCATACAAAAACCTGCACATAAATGTTTATAGCAGCTCTATTTACTACTGCCCCAAACTGGAAGCCACCAAGATGTCCTTCAGTAGGTGAGAGGATAAACAAACTGTGGAACGTCCAGAAGATGGAGAATTATTCAGCAATAAAAGGAAATGAGCTGTGTACATAGCCACAAGACTTAGGTTATAAAAATGTAACTTTCATTACTTCTAGAATCTTGTTTGGTTTCTGAGTCCCCAGCCACTTTAAAGAAGAATGCCTTGATATTTTCAAATCTATCTTCTTCCTGAGTTCTAGCCTTTAATTTTCTAGTTAACTTATGGTTTGTAATTCTTTTGATTAAATATACAGCTCAGTAAAAAAAAAGAAAAAAGAAAAAAGAAAAAAAGAAATGAGTTATCAAGTCATGGTGAGATATCAAGGGACCTTAATTTTTTATTGTTAAGTGAACAAAGCCAGTGTGAAAGGGATACATATTGTATGATGCCAACTCTATGACATTCTGGAAAAGGTAAATTATGGAGACAGTAAAAAGATCAATGGTTGCCAGGAGTTGGGGTCTAAGAGGGAGTGATAAGTAGGAGCACAGAGGATTTTTAGGGCAGTGAAACTACTCTGTACGATACTGTAATGGTGGATACAGGACATTATATATTTGTCAAAACCCACAGAGAATACAATACGAAGAGTGAACATTAAATGTTTACCTCAGCCCCTTACATGAATGACATCCCATTTTATTACTAATGTATTACACCACGAAGAGCATGTAATTACAGACTGCTAGACTAGGGGTTGGCAATATTTCTCTGTAAAGGCCTAGACAGTAAACATTTCCAGCTCGGGGCTACACCATTTCCACTGCCTGAAGTAAACTATGGACTTTAGTTAATAATAAAGTGCCAATATTGGTTTATCAATTTTGATATATGTCTACCAATGCAAGACTTTAATAGGGTAACTGTGTATGTGAGGAGAGGGAGTATATGGGAACTCTCTGTATTTTCTGTGCAATTTTTCTATAAACCTAAAACTGCTCTAGGAAATAAAGTTTACTTATTTAAAACAAAACAAAAATCAATGGAGGGCTTAGCCAGTGTTTTCTGAAAGAATGACATGTACACATAAATCTAGCAGAGAAAACTCAAAGATTCAAAGTGGCAACAGTCAACACAGAAAGGGATGCAAAGAGCCATAGAGACAGAGCCTGGGAGCAGGAAGCAGAGGACTGTATTCTCAGGACGATGGTGATATGAAAACACAAAACATTAAGGGGAAAAAACCATACACAGGAATAAACATTCTGAGATGATGCAAACCTACTACTTCGAAGGCAAGTGGTACATTTTTATTTTTAATAATCATTAACATAAATCCTACTGTGTTCTAAACTGCGCTATCGCCTATATCTACAAATGATTTAACATAAAAGTTTTCAACATTACAAAAATAGGTACCTTTCAAAAATAATGTTTCAAAAAAAAAATAACATTTAAAAAAAAAAATCTTGTTCTTACTTTATCTGGAATTCTTGACTTCGTAAATTTGTGACGAATCCAATCGGTACAAATGAGAGACTCCATACTTTTTGCCATAGTCTAAAATATGATGTAAAACATTTGTTTTTTAGAAATCTGTTTAGTGTACAAATCCATACCCACCAATTTTTAGGTGACAAGAGTCTGGTTTTTTTTTTTTTTTACCTAATCTGTATCATTAAATGTTTATCTCAGCCCCTTACATGAATGACATCTCATCATACCACTAACATATTACACCACAAAGAGCACATAATTACAGACTGCTAGACCAGGGGTTGGTAAGATTTTTCTGAAAAGGTTCACACAGTAAACATTTCCAGCTCGGGGCTTTACCATTTTCATTGCCACTGTAGGATGAAAGCAGCCTAGACAATATGTAAACAAACGGGCATGGCTGTGATACACAAAAACAGATGGGGGACTGAGTTTGCCTGGGAGCCAGAGTCTGCCAAGCCCTGCTCTTGACAAAGTGTGCAGTCATTAGCCCTCAACAACACAATGTACAAGAAGGCCGAATGAGTTTCCAGTTTCCCTTCTAGTCCCAACCATGCCAATGCTCTGGTTCCTATCTCTTGTTCCCTTTCTCAATCTTGCAGTCCTTCCTCTCAGTTGGCCAAAGAGAAGGCACTCGCTGTCAATTCTTCACACCATGAAACTCCTCGCTGGGTGGGCAGTAGCTGTTCTCTCCGGGCATTCCCTGTACTGAGGAGATGGCACATGCACAAGAGAGGCAGCAGGATGTGGTGGGGGTGGGGGCAAAGGAAAGATAAAGGTCTTGATGCCCCCTGGACATTTCTAAGCCTGGTTCTGTGCCCACCAGCTGGAGAAATGAGACACCTATCCTCTCAGAGTCAGTTTCCTCAGCTACAAAAAGGAAGTAAGACTGGCCTCACAGGATTAATCTGAGGCTAAAGTGATATAGGTAAAGCACCTGACATTATCATGTAGAGCCAGCAGCAGGCCCATAACTAGGCTCTGGCCCTCATGCAGAGGTTAGGCTACCATGGTAGTTTCGAAAAAGGAAGACTCGAAGGAAAACACATGAAAATACAAACGTCAACAGTCTCTGGGACACTGTTTTTCTTCTTTCTGCTTTACTATATATTTCTAATTTTCTGTGATTGAAAATGTATTCTTTTCACAATTGAAGGGAAAAACACCTAAAACTTTAGAAAGATTAAGGCAGACCAAGGGGAATTGACACTGACTATCTTCACCAGCACGTTCTCCAGGAAAAGTTGTTTTGTGATTATAAAACATTAGGGATAAAACAACAGATAAATCATAAATAAGATTAACCCTCAACATAAAAAAAATACATACATAAAGAAAAAGTTCTGTTTAACTTGGGCATGACGTTTTATTTAGAAAAGAGAACGAAAAAGTTTTAAAGAAGTAGGAAAAAAAGATAACTCTTGAAAAGAAACACTTACTTGCAATCTGCCTGGTGGCCTCTGAACTATTGAGCGCAAAATCCCGGCCATGAGTGTGATGAGTTCTCTGCAACAGGAAATAGATCTGTGGGACAAATGTGTCATAGAAACAGACAGGTCCCCACTCTGTGTTAGATGCTTAGAGGGATGAACAAGACACAATTCTTGCTTTCAGAGCACTAAGGATTTAGTAGTTATCTCTCCTCAAACTGATCCATAATTAGTCGAGAGAGACTGGTTCAGTTGTTGAGAATTTTTCTGTATATAAAAAACTAAACGAGTTAGTTTTCCAGTATCAAAAAACTAAACAAGTTAACTGTAAACTTGATTGATATTTAACAGTCAAATCTTGGTTATTTTAATAAAGGCAAGAATGAAGTTACAATAAATATTTTATTCAGAGTTCAGCAAAACCGTAGGTAGTAATTACACATTAACCACACCCAATTTTCACCAAATGAGTTAGAGCCTTGTGGATTTGACAAAAATGGGCAATGGGGGATACTATCATTTAAAAAGTCTTCAACAATAAGGGCTGATAAAGAACGCTTTGTTATAGAATCCCTCAAAATGAAAGAGCTGAAGGGACTGAAGAAACCCCAACTCCTATAATCAGAATTGGTAACTCTCTTACTTTATGTAGGAGGAAAACGAACCCCAGAAAGCCCATTTACCTGAAGGCAACCAGCTCTCCAGGGAGTGCACGGTTTGGAACCCAATTCCATTAATTCGCAGTCCAGTGCATTTTCACTAAATCATAACACTTTCCTGTTAAAAAGCAAAGTAGAACTTTTTTTTCTTCTTTGCATTTTTAAACTATTCGTAACAAACATGCATTGCTTCTATGACTTAAAAAAGTCAAGTTTATTTAGACACAAAACAATCACAGCTACTATACGGGCACATACTGAAAGCAGAAAGATTAGGTGCATGAACATCATGTATATTTTGGATCAGTTACTTAATTTATGTGTTTCAATTTTTTCCCCAAAGAACAGAAAGAAAATTATACCTATCTTGTAAATGAGTTATTCTAAAAACACCTAAAACAGCACCTGGAACACAGGAAACCCTCAATAAATTGTAGCTTTTACTATTATGTATAAAATTATTAAATTAGTACAAAATTTTAATGAGAACACCCTAACAAACCAAAACAGGGTAAGTGCTGTACTTCAGTGTCCACCAGATTCGGGTTCACTCAAACTCTGCAGGTCTTTCCTGTGATGTGGACAAAGCAATAGAATTGTGGGAATTAATGCAAGATGTCCCACGAAAAGAGCCAGACTTCAGAAAAATTCTCAGCGTACTGAACTAGTCTCTCCAGACTAATTATGGATCAGTTTGAGGAGAGTTAACTACTAAATCCTTAGTGCCTTGAAAGCAAGAATCGTGTCTTGTTTGTTCCTCTCAGCATCTAACACACTATCTGACGAACGATAGGTACCTAGTGTTTGTTGTTGAATGTATGAATAAATTAATGAGTTAGATCTGTGGTCTGCTCAACTAAGAATTCAGAAGTGCATCAGAATTTCCTGTCATTCAGACATCAGACCTCAAACATTACAAGACAGAATAACAATTTCTAGTTCAAATCACTCACTGTTTGCTTGGCTAGTTTTTATATATTTATATCGAGGCTCACTTAGAAGAGACACTTAGTCCTCTGGCCTGCCAATCAGATAGGAAATGTGAAATTATTTTCTTTACCATCCTTTTGCCTCCCAAGTTAAACATTATATACTAACGCAATGCATGTAGCTTCCCACTTTGTTAAATCTTCCTCCTATCACTAAGAATTCAACAAAAGCCTCCTAATTGGCTTTTCTTCTTCCATTCCAACTTCTGTCTTTACAGCAGCAATAATCTCATTAAATCCTAAACCAGATCACGTCAATTCCTTTGCTCCAAACCTTCCAAAGAGCCAGATTTCTCACTATTGGAGTGGGAGGTTACACATAAGCAAGTGTGGAAGGCTAGAATAATCCATGCTATCCAATGACACACGATTAGAGTTGGAACTTATGTTTGGCTCAGTATAGATACTAAAGGCTATAGAAATAATTATAGATATGGATGTAACATGAGTTAGTTCTGATAGCTGAGAGGACCTAAAAGCAATGGCATCCCAGTAGCAATGAGCACACCCAGTGCCCAGGTCTCAGTTTCTAATACAAGTCTCTAATAAAAGAACCCAGGGCTCCTTGGAGAAATAGTTGATTACAGGGCTTCAGGAAGGGATATGTAGAGATGAATCTGGAGCATCTTGCAGTGCTAGAAAGGAACACTTAAAAAATCAAAATGATGGCGGTATATCAAAGGGTCATAAGAGCCAACTGAAAGAGCTCCCAGTGGCTAAAGCTGGAATAGTATAGAGAATAAAAAAACAAAATATTGGTTTGTAAAATCCAAACCATTAAATAACCATGAGTCTGTACTTATATAAATAAGTGAATAAGTTAAATTAATGAGATAGAAGAAACAAATCTCTCTTACAGAAGAATTCCAAATAGTTTATGAAGCTACTCCCCCCTCTAAGAGGTGGAGCAAAGCCACTCATCCCAGAAGGGTGGGCTATGATCCCAGAGGACAGTATAGTAAGGGGGGAAAATAACAATACATTAGAGAAACCTGACAAATGCCACGTCAGCCAGGTGACCAAGGTTAACATCAACTGTGATAAAAGTCAAGTTGACAGCATGTATCCCAGATATGGTGGAATGAGAATGGCACTTCCACCTCTGTGGTCTTCCTCTCAAAAACCCCTAACACCACTCTAAGAGAAAAACATCAAACAAATTCCAATTGAGGGACAAAATACCTGACCAGTACCTCTTCAAATCCCTGACTGCCTCAAAATTGTCAAGGTCATTGTAAACAGGAAAGTTTGAGAAACTGTCATAGTTAAGAGGAGCCTATGGAAACAAGATGACTAAATGTTGTAATGCATGATCTTGATGTGATTCTGGAACAGAGAAAGGACATCAGGCAAAAACTAAGACAATCTGAATGAAGTATGAACTTTAGTTAATAAAGTATCAATATTGGTTCATCAATTATAACAAATGTACCATACTAATGTAACATGTTAATAAAAGGGGAAACTGGGTGTGGGGGTATATAAGAACTCTGTGCTATCTTCACAACTTTTCTGTAACTCTAAAGCTACTCTAAAATAAAGTTTATTTATTAAAAAATGAAAAACCTCCAACGCTTCTCTATTTCAATCAGCGATAGCGAGTCTTTAACCCCCACCCCTAGGACTTCATCTCCAATTACTCTCTTGCTCAATCGCTAAAAGTACTGGACCCCTTGCTGGTTCTGGAACTTGCCAGGTAGGCACGCTCCCTTGGACTGGCTGATCCCTCTCCTGAAATGCTTCAATTTTTGGCTCCAATCTCACCTGCTCAGCGAGGCCTACCCTGATTTCATTATTTAGCATTTGACCCACGCCACAATTGTCAACACTTCTAACCCCTCTTACGTTTCAATTTTTCCATAGCAATTATATTTCAACATAATTTGTTAGGTTTGTTTACTGTCTGTCTCCACCCAATAGCATGTTAGTTCTACAAGGACAAGGATTTTTAAATTTTATTTTATTTTGGGTCTGCATGTAGCCTAAGCATTTACTTAAAGCAGCACCTGCCAGGTAGCAGGCACTCAATTTTTGCTCAATGAATGAAGTTTAATTTACAGACTTCAGAGTATGTGATGGCCAAAAGTTGTAAGTTTTAATAAAGGTTATTCTTAATATTTAGGCACATAACTCTTGGACCTTAAAGCAAATACGTTATCTTCTACTGTACAATAACCTTCCTCTTGCATAGATGCAAAAATAGGAAAATGCACGCATGATATGAGACTTAAGATCTCATTTCTATTAAAAAATATGTCTGTGAATGTGTGCGTATACACAGAAAACATCTGTTAGCTATCAGAAAAAAACGTTAACATACCCCTGGGGGGCAGGGTACCAGGGCGGTATTTTCTCTTTTTTGTCTCTGTAATATCTGATGTTTTTTGTTGTTTTACAATGACCATGGCTATAACCGTTCTTTTTTTAAAAAAATATTTTCCTAAAGAGACATCTATTTAATTATAAAAAAGGAGGAGACATTACTGAAAATGCAAAACATAAAATTTCCCTCTTGATAAACAGAGATCTCCGAAAGCACAAGGAATGTTCCTATTTGAACTCTTAACGCCTAACAAGTAGTTGGCAGCCCTCCTAAGTGCCTTTTGCCAAAAATACGCAGAACGCTCAGCTTTGAGTAGGAGGCGACCAAACATGGTTGCAAAATCACAGCTTTTGGTAAAATGGCAAATTTTTAACTTATAACTCTGGAAGGTTCGCCTTCTAAAATGCAGCAATTTTAAAATTAGGCGCTTTTGTATCTTTATTAACAAATTAAGTTACGCTGACCCTCAGTGGAAAGCCTAGGTTATGAACAACGCAGAAGCACAGAAAATGCTAAAACAAATTCGAATTCTCCTTCCCAGGCTGTCCAGCCTAGGCGGCTCGGCCCCTGAGTTTCGGGAATCGGTGTTCAACTACCGCGCGTCCCAGATACCCTCCAAATTAGAAAAAAAGGATCACGTCGGCCAATGGCCTTTCGGGAGCCAAAGGGACAGGCCCGGGACGCAGGCCATCTAGGTTACATTAGTAAACTCAGAATCGAAGAGGGAAAATCCGCATTTACACAGGGTTCCCAGATACGTACTCTAAGCAAAAATGCAATAACCTCAGCCACGCATTTTCTCTATCACCAGCGACTGCTAATAGTTCAGCCTGAACTCACCCGCAGACATGAAGTTGAGCAGAGGAAAGACCACCAAGCGCTACACTCAAACTCCGCCGGCCCGGTACACGCAAAATGTGGCACTTTAGTTCCGGCAGAGTCCCTCCCAAACTCAAGGGCCGTAAGAAGAGAGCGCAGGCGCGTCGGTGTCACGCGATCACTACGCGGAAGTGAAGCAGATCCATCTCTGGCAGGGTTTGAGTCGGAGTCCGGTTTCCAGAATAATGGCGAAATCCGGGCTGGGGCTGGATGCGGGGAGCTCAGCTGCAGTCACTGTGCTAAAGCGGGCGGTGGAGCTGGATTCCGAGTTTCGGTACCAGTCGGCTCTGGTGTGTTACCAGGAAGGGATTGACCTACTCTTGCAGGTTCTAAAAGGTGAGCAGTGAACCATGGAGGAAGGATTACGGGAAAGTGAGATAATGCCTGCTGTTTCCGGGCGGAGTCTAAGAGTTAATGATTGTTGTGCACTATGAGGAAGGAGTCAAATACAGAAAATTGGATTTTCTACAGGATAAGAGGACTGGTTTCTTTTCTGTCTTTAATAGATTGATGTCATCAAGAAAAGGGGGTTACTATTCTAGATAGGTAAGAGACATAACCGAATATAATATGTCTTGATAGGACTTGGGTTTGAACAAACTGTAAAAGACATTTTTAGATCAATTTGCAAAGTTTGAATATGGATTTGATACATTAAAATTATTAGCTTTGTTAGGCAGTATGGTTTTTTTCGAAAATGGCCCTTAATTTTTAGCGATGCAGACCGAAGTATTTTAGGAAGAATTGTCATGATTTCTGAAGTTTAAGAAAAAAACGTTGAAGCAAAGGTAGCAAAATGCTAACAAATTTTAAATCTAGGTGCTGAGTAGTAAGGATATTCATTACACTATTAACTGTACTTTTCTGTTTAAACAATTCATTAAAAGTAAACAAAAAAGAGTGGTAGAAGACAAAGGTTTTTTTCCATAAGAAATGGATGTACTGATATTCTGTGTGAGAAATGCATAGTATTGTGGGCTGGGACAGTGAGACTTTATACTACACAGTCATTCAGTATTGAGCAGTACCCAGATAACCCTCAACACCAGCACAATCCCTGGTACAGAGTAGACACCCAATAATTATGTTTTAAATTGATTGAGAAGAGCCTCTGGTCCCCTCACCCTGTTGCTCTCAGTTGGCCTGTAGCCTAGGAGTTTTTATAAATGCTCCAGAAACTTTGAGGCAACACAGGGTGTTTTTAATGTTCGGTGCTTCTCCCTTGAGCAGGGCCAATATGATGATGATGATGATGATGATGATGATGATAACAGAGTAACTTAACATTTATGAGTGCTGAATGCAACACACTGTGTCAGAATCCATTAAACACATGATCTCATTTCACCCTTACAGTTGCCCTGTAAAGTAGAAGGTGATGTTATCCTCATTGTACAGCATAAAAAAGTAAAGTTTGCTTTCTAGTTCCCCCACAGTTGGTAGAGTTACAATTGGAAGCCAAAGCTTTGAAGACTCTGGTAAACTGACTCTCAAAGAGTGATGGTGTGTAGTGTTGGTCAGGGGTAGCACTGCTCAAATCCTGGCACTCGAGAATCTGAAGCAGCAGAATGACAGGCATTCTCCAGTGTGCTTCACTGATCCTGTAGAGGTTACAGAGACAGTGACACGATCTTGCAGGTTAAGGTACAAATGCAAATAACTCATAACACAGAATAAGTGCCAGGAGCGAGCTATAGACAAATGCAGGGAGGATTTCAACATTTAAAGGTCATTTGGGATGGAAGGGTGGAGGTGACTTTTGATATAGGGGCTTTGGAAGAACAAGTAGAATTTTTGAAATCAGAAATTCAGCTAAGAGTGTTTAAATTCTGTCTGTTTTACCAAAAAATTAGTTCTCTTTGTTTCAACATATGTCTGTAGAGGAAGAGCGAGAGGTAAAGGTTAAAGTTGATGGGGGCTGGGGGTACACTGTGGATGACCTTGACTGCTAGGAGATTTTAACTCATTCCGTAGACAAGGAGAAACCATTTCAAGTTTTTAGAAGAGTGACGTAATTAAAGTTGCATCTCAGGCCTGGTTTCTCTTAGGAATATGCTCTTCTCCCAAATAGTTGGGTTGCACACTTCCTCTCTTCTTTCAGTCTTCACACTAATACCACCTTTGTAAGACCTTCCCTGACCTCCAGGGTAACACGACAACCCCACCCCCAGGACTCCCTCATCCTTCCTGCTTTCTTTAATAGCATTTATCACAATCTAACATACATGTTTTACTGATACATTTTTATCGTTGTCTTTCCTCTCACTCAAATAGTAGGGGAGGACTGTATCTGTTTTATTAACTGCTGTATCCCCAGTGCCTGGCAGGTAGTAAGTTTTCAATAAGTATTTCTTGGATAATCGGTGAATGTGGCAAGAGTGTAGGAGAGAGATTAACTTGAAGAGGCTGAGGCCAAGCAGATCCATTAAGGAGCTCCTGCAGGGGTCAAGATGAGAAGTGATAAGGGGCCTGAGTGAGTTAGGGGGTAACACCACCAATATTAGGAAAAGGAGGGGACCGTGTAGATATTGAATTATTGGCGTGGGCCCATGACCATATGTGGGAGTGAGGTTTCAATGGGAATCAGAGATGACTGTACAATTTCAAGCTTGGAAAACCAAGACAAGATGTTTGGAGAATGGGTCTGCATTGTCAAACTCTGCCAGCAGATCAAGGATAGTGATTAACAGAGGACTACTACATCTGTAGCAGATGGGGAGAATGGGGTATATTTATGGGCAGCAGTAAAATAACTGGAATTTAAGAAAAGAAATGTCAGATAAATTGTGCTTCTAATGGAAGTCAAGAGTAAGGTATATGGGAAAAAATTATGTAGATGATATTGACAGTGTAGTAATCCTCTTCACAACTCTCTAAGATACTAACTATAACTCTCTTCATGTTATAAATGAGGATATGGAGAGGTTGAATAAATGGCCAAGGTCACAGAGGCAGAGGTGGCATAGTAGGTTTAGAACTAAAACAGTCTGACTCCAGACACTTTGCTGTTAACCACTATTTATACTACCTCTGTAAAGAGACCGTAAAATGCTTAATCTTGACAAAAAAGCAGGACAGTTCAAAGTTTCTGAGTTTAGAGGAACATGTATCAACCTAGTAGAAGAGTGATGAGTTCTCATATCAGGATTCCTCACAGGAGATTTATGGATCATATGTGGCTATGTAAGGATTTTCTTGTGCTCCAGTAGTTTAGGCATGAGAAAATAGGGATCTAAACGAGACCAGTTTGGGCAGTAGAAGGACCTGAAAGGGAATTATTTCAGTAATTATATTGATGTCAATAAAATGTTGGAGCCAACCTAAATGTCTCTGGCTAGGAATGGTTGAGTCTATACTGCTATAAAAAAAAAAGAATAAGATCTTTATGAAGTGATTCCAGGATACATTGTTAAGTGAAAATTACAAAGGACAAAGTATCTATAGTATGCTATCCTTCATGTAAAAAAGAGGACATAAGAAGATAGCCACGTGTCTATTCATTTGTTCAAAAGAAAGATAAAACCAGGAACTAACGAGGTTTGTGGGGTGGTGGGAAAAGAGGTAGAAAGGAGGAAATGGGAATGGAGTAACAAGATGAGAGAGTGACTTTTCTCTGAGTTATTCCATTGTAATACGTAAGGAAGGAGGAAGAAACTAGGAAACGTAAGTATCTTTGGAAAATAGTATTTTGACTATTTTGTAAGGTTCAAAAAGAAATCAAAGTTACAGACATTGTATTTTAATTGGTAAATATTTTCCTCACGGGGATATGGGTTAGGAATTCTGAACTACTTTATGTTTATACTAGGCTTGAACAAGCCAGTAAATGTATCGTGGATAATAAAAGAAGTTACAAATAAGGAAAGGAGGGCTAGAATGAGCCTTGTGGTGTTATATTAGCACGAACTGGTAGTTTTTAATACATGCAGATGGATAGACACAGAAATCCATACAGGCACATCTCATTTTATTGTGCTTTGCTTTATTATACTTTGCAGATATTGCGTTTCTTTTCTTTTCTTTTCTTTTTTTACTGCCTACAGTACCTGGTATTCCAAGGTGGATGTTGCGTTTCTTTACAAGACCCTCCACCAGCACAAAAATTGACTTGCTGAAGGCTCAGATGATGGTTAGCATTTTTTAGCAATAAAGTATTTTTTAGATAAGGGTATGTACATTTCTTTGTAGACATAATGCTTTTATGCACATAATAGACTACAGTAGAGTGTAAGTATAAATTTTATATGCACTGGGAAACCAAAAATTGTGTGTGAGTCATTTTATTGCGGTAATTTCGTTACTGCAGTGATCTGGAACTGAACCCAAGATCTGCCTTAGTCACGTATGTGTGTATTTGTAAACCTACATGCTTTCTAGCTGTGTTGACTACAACGGTGTAGCAGTAGTGATAGGAATTCCCTGGTAGAAGTTAACACACTCAGCATCCAGAATACAGTTTCTTGAAGCCATTTGCTAATAAAAGGCCACCTTTGTGGCCTCACAAGATTTGGTGTCCCCAGCAGTGAGACGCAGTGTCAGAGTTCCTACTCCGAAATAAAGCAGCTGTACATGCTTAGTGCACCAGTGAAAGTCCTTTCCTGATCAAGCCAAATTTGAGGCTGTTATTTGTATATTTTAGGACCAAAGCAAACCATGCTAAGGGATAGGAAATGCATGGAGAACTTGAAAAGCTGGAAATAACACTAGAACTAAATAGAAAAAGTTTTGAAACTTATGAATATATTTTTTAATTTGTAGGCACCAAAGATGATACAAAGAAAGATAATCTCAGAAAAAAAATTTCAGGCTACATGGATAGAGCAGAAAACATAAAGAAATACCTGGATCAAGAAAAAGAAGGTAAAGCGGCTGTTTGAGAGGATGTGTCCATGAGCTACTGAGATGAAGCCCATTTCAACCAGTGTTTCTACCTCTGCCCTTGGGACTCTGTGGGGTCTGCACCGTTTACCCCTGGAGCTTACAGATTTGCTGTGCATTTCTACTCCCCTGTACATAGCTATTCTTAACCTTTTTTGGGGGGTGGGGTTGGAGAGGGAGGTGGTGGTCAGATACCCTCCTGAGAATCTGATGAAAGCTCCACATCTGCAGACTTCTGTGTGTGCTGGAAGGAATTCGCAGATCCCCATGAAGCTTCCATGTGGACTCCAGTTTAAGGAACACTCAAGAGTGGCGGTCTCTAACTTTTAGGTATCAGGGACTGGTGCACCTATGAGAATCTAATGCCTGATTATCTGAGGCGTAGCTGAGGGTGTGACGCAAGCGCTGCGGAGCAGCCTCAGCTCCGCCTCAGGTCATCAGTTGTTAGATCCTTTTAGGAGCACTGATCCGAGCTGCCAAAGAGGTTGGGGACTGCTGATATATATTATAGTACCATTAGCATTGTGGTTTGAATACACTGGGTTAAGTTAACCTCTGTGGCCATTAGCTTGGCTTGAAAATTGATGCATAGTCACTAACACTAACATTGTATCTGTGGAAATACCAAAGACCAAACTACTGGTTTTTAAACAAAGTTTAAAAGTGCAACCAACATATCAATTAGGAACTCCATTAGGAGTCATAATTTTAAAAAACTTTAAAGGTCTTTGATAATGTATTCTGTAATTACTCCTTTTGAATGAGCAAGAACCTGGGAACTACCCTGCAGATCCTGCAGCGCCCCGGTCTTTGGCTTGGGTTTTGAGTAGTACTGTCAGTTTCTGCTTAAAACACTCTTTACATGTGCTAAGAAAGATGTTTAAACTCCATATTACACCGCATGTATGTAGCTTGTGGTTCTGCTCATGGCGACAGGAATGTCAGATATACATACAGTTCTCTCTGGAATAAACTGCCTGGTTTATAGGAATCAGCTCAAAACGTGCTCCCAGAAATCTCTGGACTTTGCCGCATGCCTGGCCTCTGTAAATGCAGAAATCTCTCACAGAACGGTTTGCCTTATTTCCCTGTGTATGTGTAGCATCTCACAGTGTGCCTGGTATACAGTAGGCATTCAAAAATGTTTCCTGAGTGGAGGACTTAAAAAAATTAACTTGTATCTCATCCTGATTAATCCCTATATATAAATGTAATATGTATAAAAGGAAGGTAAGTAGTCACTGGTCTTATTATTGAAACTTGTTTTGCAGATGGGAAATATCACAAGCAAATTAAAATAGACGAGAATGCCATAGGTTTCAGTTACGAGTCGCTTTTTCAGGAATACCTTAGTGATACAGTTACAGAAGTTTGGATAGAAGATCCTTATATTAGATATATTCATCAGGTAAGTGAAATGTATCAGTATGATGAAATGTCATTTAAAACGTACAAGTTACTAGTAACTCATCCTCATGTCTTTCAGCTGTATAACTTTCTTCGATTTTGTGAGATGCTTATTAAGAGACCTGGTAAAGTAAAAACCATTCATCTTCTCACTGCCCTGGATGAAGTAGGTATCTGAAGGCATTTACTCTTTCTTCACTTCATTCATTTTATTCGTTTACAAGATGTAGTTCAGGCCCTGGCCGAAATTCTTCAGCTGGGGGTATTGCCTTTGGGCGAACTTATCTAACAGTGGGCATAAACACCTGCAGAAGATGTCCTTGATTTTAGTATTTTTACCTTGCATTTGGCCACTTTGCTAAACTCTTATTCAAATAATTCGTCAGGTTATTGTCTCGGGTGTTCTAGGAGACGATCACGATCACACGGTCTGCGTTATTGACAGTTTTGTCTCTTTTCTACTGATTATTGTGTTTTTCGTGATTGATTACACTGGCCTTCTGGGAGATCATAGCGTGATACTGGGTGTCTCTCTTGAATCCGACTTACATTGGAATGCTTCTAAATAAATCAGATTTCTTGGATTAATTTAAGAAGACAGTCCCATCTGAATAACTAGACAGCATTACCAAAGTACATTTTAGGAGATAGGACAGAGTTGTATTATGTCTACTTAGAAAAAAACAATTATTTTGATAAAAACATTGCTTATAAACTACTTCATATTCTTTGGTTGCTTCTCTGAGATACTAGACATTGAAATTCGTATAGACTTTCCATTTTAATTCACCTATGATGCACATTGCATAGCTCAGGGATAATTTAAAATATTAACTGAGGCAGAAAATTGTATTTTTCTATTAACAGGGTGATGGGAAAGAGCGGCAAATTAGTGGCCTGAAAGAAATAAAAGAGTCACTTAGGAGTCACGGAGTGCTGTTGAAATTAGAATACTCTTCTTCAATACATGACAGAGAAATCAGGTTAGTGTATAGTAACAATTTTTATGCAGTTGAAAAATATTTTTATTTAAGTTTTATATAATTGTATATATTCGATTTAAGTTTTAAAGTTTTAAATAAAATTCAATTTTAGTATCTTTTCACTTCTGAGAAAAAGAAAATCTCGCTTATTTTACCCTGTAGGTTTCATATTTCCTAATGGAATGAAATGTACATGTTCTGTGTTGTGAGAAGTAGTTTTTGTACTTTTCTATTCAGCTCTACGTACTGTGTTACGGTATTGGGAGAATTTCCTCTTTTGGTAATAATGATATGTACTTAATGTGGCTTTACTTCTTATGGTTTATAAAACAAGAATGTTTTAGGCATGACAGTATGCCATGTCTGTAATGAAATGGTATATGCAGTTATTTTAGTGGTACGTCCCCTCTATTTAGCACAGTAGCTTTCATATGTTTATAGCGATGGCACTTTCGGTTTTAATGAAAACTTAAGCACAAACTAAATGCAAAACAGATGAAGATGCCATAGCTGTGGTTGAAGCAGAGGTCAGGACCCTCAGCCCTTCCTGCTTACATTCCCCTGAAACACCAGCCCAGTCTGCTTGAGTGCACTTTGAAACCACTCATTAACAGAATAGGAAAGTATCAGCAAGCTGAAATTCAAGAGTAAGGTTTAATTGGAATTGTTAAACTGTTTGTCAGCTAATCAAATCAACCGATGGTTTGTGTGGACGTTTTGTTTCATTGTAGACACAGCCCATGAGTCCCCCCAGATTTGGTTCAACTCATGCCCCTGGAGGAAGTGATTTTCTCTGTTAGGGGGAGATATGCTAACACTTTATACCCTACAGCTTTGATAATCGTCTAATGTAAATGTCTGTAATATAATACTATTTACTAATTTCAATAGGTTCAACAATGGATGGATAATTAAAATTGGAAGGGGACTGGATTATTTTAAGAAACCGCAGGTACAATATAGCCTTATGAATGGGTAGCACACTTTTTGTATTATTTTAACAAAATGGCTTTGGTCCTTTTTGTTAAAGAAACTCTTTTCTTCTCTTCTTAGAATCGTTTTTCACTTGGATATTGTGATTTCGATCTAAGACCATGCCATGAAACAACAGTGGATATTTTTCATAACAAGCACACAAAAAAAATATGATGAGTAGTAGCTTAATTTACAGTGTAAATTTCTATTTTAAGTGAATATTGGATTTTTTTCTTACTTTGGACAGATGATTTTTCTATTATGTGAATTAAACAATAAAATTGTACATTTCTACTAATTTATGGATCCATTGTTCAGTTGTGTGACCAATCCTAAATATTTTTGTAAAAACATTACTCAGATTTATTTACAGTGTTTCAAGTCATATGGTTAATTTAAACATTTTACCAGCTTTTCTCTTATTTGTCTGTTGGAGAGTGAATAAAAAAAATAATGAGCACCTATTATAAAGATGAATTGGATGCTGATATCGCCTCTAAGAATTTAGAGTCCAGGAGGAAAAATCATAGATTATTCTTAAGAGACACATGGACGCAAGTCTAATAACCAGGAAAAAAGTACAGTGTTAATTTTGTTACAATTAAGTGTCTTTGGCAGACATTCACCAGATTTCAGTTATCCAATATTCCCTAACTCCATAAAGGCACACCAACCTGCTTAGTTATCCAGGTATGTTATGCAGCTCATTCAGCCTTGGCTGGCACATTTGTAAAGCTCTGCAGCTTAGAATCAACTGTGCTGGGTAAGCTCCTCCAATAGATGCCATTTGCCTGGTTGGGGACAAAGACTAGTTTTAGAGAGATAGGCTGGGAAAAAGGGATACAGGTGGAGGCAGTGGGCAGGCAGTTAAGAAGCTTAAAGAATAAGCTAAACCAGAATCTACAGAGGAAAATGGACATACTGGTATTGGAGAGTGCACATAGAAACATCACATCTGGAGAAGACTGAAGATTAAATTCAAGATTAGCGTGGGGGCCTGAAGCCAGGCGGAGGGAGGCCATGGGTATAGGGTTGAGCAGAGTAGTCCTGGGTGGGCTTAGACACCAGGTTTATGTTTTGCCTTTGTGGGCCAGCAGGTACATGGTTCAGTTGGTGTAAAGACCAAAAAGGGTTTCCAGAAAAGTTCCTGATGTTTTCTTTTGATATTTGCAGGTTTAGGTGCTGATAATGCTGAACCTGAAAACAGTCGAGCCAGTTTTGGCAAACTTCATTCTACGGAAACTCAGGGTCCCATCCCAGGAGAGCACTTGGACAAGTATTGGACCTGATCAAAAGTTACTTTCTGCAAGGAATCCTAGCTTATTTTGCCAAGTACCCATCGTTAAGTGGAAGTAGAGTGGTTTTTCATTCAGGTGAGAGCACATATCAGACCTTGTTACTTTCATGTTAAAATAACTCTGATTTCTAGACTATACGGATCTGCTACTAGAGAATCAGCAATCCACAACTCTGTGAAATTAACTTTTATTCATATCTCATGGAAATCTTGCCTTAGAGATAATGATATTTAAGGAAGAGAACCTACAGGCTTACCATTCATTATTCTGGATATTTGAAGTTCTATCCCCAGATCCAATTAGACCACCTATTAAACATATCAATAAATGTGCAAGAACTATATAAAAGAAGATAAACTTTATGGAAGGATGTAAAGAAAACTAGATGTAACTGGAAAGACAAATTATATTCCTGAATTGGAAGGCTTAATAAGATGTCATTTCTCCCTATGTTAATTTATAAATTAGATGACAAAAGAGACTAATGAGACTTACAATAATTTTTTAAATGTATGGGCATAAGAATGGACAAATAAATAAGTGTGTTAGAATAAGGAGTCTGGAAACACATCTGAGAAAGTGACTATGTCTATGGGTACTTTGTATATAATAAAAGTGTCTTTTAAATTAGTGGGGAAGAGTAGACTGTTCAATAAATGGGAAAAAAATAACATTAGATCTCTACCTTACTCCACCTAGAGAAATTATTCTAAAGTGCTAATTAAATGAAAAATCCAAATTTTTAACCAAAAAAGCCAACTAAACTTAAGCACAACTTAAAACCCAGGAATTATCAAGGAATGAGCAAATGGTTTGACTATTATTTAAAAATTTTAAACTTGATTAAAGAAAACCATTAAAAAGTTAAAAACATATGCGTTCACATTTATAACATGTAAAAAAAAGGTTTTTAGTTCTAATTTGTAAGGAAGATAGTCACATTTTCAGCAGGTGAACTTGACCTCACGTGCTCTAGCCTCACCAAGGACTTAGTCCTTTGAGCAATCTCCTTCTCTACTGCATTGTTCCTGCTAGTACACACATCCCCATCCAGATACCATCCTATTTCTTTGTTTTTCATGACCAAACTTATTGAAAGCATTCTCTATCAAGTTTTTTCCCCATTTCATCACCACCTATTCACACTTCAACTCGGGGGTCCCCAGTCTGGCATATGGGGAAACAGGCCCTACAGGTTGATCATTCAAATTAATTAAAGCCCTGGATAGTACTTTAGTCCACCCGGCCAAAGTGGTTTTACCTGTTAGTAATTTCATCTGCAGCGCTGATATTCCCTTCTTCTGTCTACCAACCCTGCCGCCTGTGGATTATAGGGGAGATGGAGACTCCACTCGGTATCATGTTCTTTTACCCAGTCTTGCATATCATGACCTTTGTACTGTGACACCCCGATTGTTGTCCATTATCGAATGGACAGTGATCAAGGTGTCATAGTACAAAGGTCATGGTAGTTAGCTTCTCTAAACCCCTAATTAGATTGCAGTCTGGTTTGCACACAAGGGAAGACTTGGTTTAAGCCAGATGTGGGGTACACACAAATCAAGCTGTGTTTAGAACCCTGACTTGGAGCCCATACCGGGCTGTTGAAAGCACTGTGGGCTGAAGTACAGTATCCACTGGGTGCAGGTCTCAGATAGTTGTCTTGTTTCCTTAATTCCCAACCTGGCAATGTATAATGTTTGACAGTTACCACTGTCACAGGGAGTGGTAGGTTTACTGGTTCACAGTTGGTGTTTCCCCTCAGCACTGGTTTGATTACTATAACCCAGATACAGAATTTACCAATAGAGGTTTGCAGAGTTTGACCTTGTAGGACATCCATGTCCAATGTTCTCTAGCACTGGAGAGATATCAACATATTCTCATGAGGGAGAATGCCCAGTATGCAGTGTGAAAAGGACCTTCCTGACCATAACCATTTGCTGACGGGGTCAGAAAACTTCTGAGGGTTACCATGTATCAGAGTAAATTTGGTTCCAGAGCCGTCACTTTTTATTTCTGGGGGATCAGTGAATGGCAAGCCCAACTTGGGGGCCTCTGATCACCCCTAACAGCCCTCACCTGGAGGCGATCTTGGCCTGCATCCTATACCCATGGTGTGGGAGTCCACCCCAAATAGGACTGTATCTCTGAGGCCCCTGCTGGAGCAGGCGGGGTAATAGGGGTGGTAGAGCCCGCGGTGGTAAGAGCAGGTCTGAACTATTGCTCAGGATTTAAAATGTTTCATAGGCTGACCAATACAGCGTTGGATTGTGGTGTCCCAACAACAGTAGAGTCAAACCACATTTACCTCCCGGTTACTTCTGCTGGGTATAATCCCTTTATCCCCAATTGGGATAACCTTTTGGCTTCTCGAGTTTTCTGTCTTGGGTCTTTCCCATAGTCTGTACTCATTCCTGGGATTTCAGTTTCCCCCAGATCAGCAATGGATTGCCCAACATCATAAATGGCTTGACCCAGGAAAAGGCGCAGCATGGATACCAGTGTCCCACACGCAGTGCTGGGGGTGGGCTGGAGTGTCTTGGCTTTTATTCCTGCAGTGACTGTGGCTCAATCACGGCTTTCAAAGACAGGAGTATAGATGGCTTGTCTCATTCCTAACTCCCTAAGTGTTTGTTGTACTTCCTCTATTGATTTCCAGGGTCCCACATGTCCGGGGAGACTGCCTTCACTTGGCCCAGCCTCTCTGCAGGATAGAGTAATCCAATCTATAAGAGTGACTACTTTGAACCCCGAGTACCACACAGGTGCTGCTGGAGGGCAGGGTACGTGGTGATAGATCTTAGTTGTTTTAAGTCACCAAGTTTTGGAGTGGTTTGTTTTGTAGTAATAGATAACTGATAAGACCTGGAATACTCTTCACTCTGTGTGGCAGCTTTCTTCTCCTTCGTCAGATCTCAGTTCCAAAGTCTTCTCCCTGATAGCTCTAAGTAGGTAGCCCCCATTATTGTCTGTTATAAGTATGTGGACTTTCCTACCCTGCTCATTTTGTAATTATTTACTGATTTGTCTCTATTTTCCCTACTAGGCATGAGTTTTTAAAACTCAGGTCTTGACCTATTAATAGGTCATAAAATCAATTTTTAAAAAATGAAATGAAGTTGAATATAAAGTATCAGATAAGGATAAGCGTTGTATTGTAAAACTTGTTAGGTATAGGTAATGTGTGTTAGTGCACAATATAAAATATACATTTTACTCTAGTTTTAAAAAAGCTTGAAAGCCACTATACTAAACTATCAATTCCTGAGGTCAGTGGCCACATCTCTCACTCACCAGGAACATCAACTAGCAGAGTATCTGACAGTCCATAAACACATGGTGAATACTGTGGGAATAAGAGAAGGGTATGTGAATGAACTGGAGACAGGAAATAGGTGGAGGTGATGTTACTCTTTGAAGTTTGGCAATGAAGAGATGGAGAGGGAATAAAACCTTGAGCAGGAGAGTTTTTGGGAAAAGGGAGACATGAGCGCATTCATTAACTGCAGTGTGGATCCATTGAGAGTTGAAAGAGAGAAAATGCAGTATTTGACAGCATAAGGCCCAAACAGGCTGGAGGGCAAAACTCGGGTACAAGTAGACAGGTTGGCTTTCAGGAAAAGGAGGTATTTCTTTCTGAGACCGAATGAAATGAGAAATATTGAACTAGGGAATGTGGGCTAAAGGAGCTCATTTCTGAAGGCTTCTGCTCTGAAATTCTGAGTCAAGGTTTGTGACAAGATTAAGAGTAGTGGACTTCTGAGCTTAAGACCGGAACATTTAGGATAAGGCCTTTGAGGAACGAGAAGGAGTCCACAAATATGAGTTGAATCTGACACCAACAGAAAGAAGAAATATAAGCTGACAATTGTAAATTTGAAATTGAGTTTATCTGCGTGATTATGTGACTTTTCTTCCAGCGTTGTTTGCCACCTGAGCACAGGAGTTAAAAAAAAAAAAAATCTGTTGGAATAAAACAAAACGTGGCCACGGTAGGTCAAGAGGGAGAGGCAGATGAGAATGCAAGTAACAAAGGG